TTTTAAAGTGCTTTATAAATAAAGGTGATGATGAATAAACAAACAAACATAACTTTACTGTTGTGTTTTTGTTCCATTGTTAAATATTTAGATATATTTTAGGAAGCATAAAACAAATGTTACAGAGTTTTTTTGCTTCTGTATTTTTATTTTCTATAACTAATAAAGTGAAATCGACGAGATTCTGCCCCGAACATCTTCTGAGGTATTTTAATGACGCGTTTCTTTAACACTATTTCATTCTAGTCGTTACTTTTTACCCTATTACAGATATTTTACAGACGGAGTTATTTTGGAAAATATTTTTTAGAATAAAGACTTAAAGTGATTATAAATCTTTTTTTAAGTCAGCTGGCTGTGTTTGCAGTCATTCATTAAACTTAATATTTATGGATGCATTTTGCACTTCTCTCTTACACAACGTCTGTCTTACTTGTGTCTGTTTTTAACTTTAACTTTAGATTTTACTTTCGTTTTTATGTGTGAATATATAAACTCCTGCAGTGTCTCATGGAGTCTTTATTTTAACTCTGCTGTTTTGTTGTTTCTAACTTTCAGACGTCTCTGATTTCAGACTCGTTTTGCAAAAAGCAAATAAAAAAAGTCTCAAATGTTACAGTCTGCAGTTCCATCTTTGTTGTTTCAATTATTGTATACCAGACTTGTTATAAAGTAAAAACCAGCACATTGATCCTGCATGTGAATGTCGTGGATCAGAGCTTGTGTGATCAGAAATGTAGCCACAGTCTGCAGATGTGTCTCTTTTTATAGGTTTGACATTTTTTTTGATGCAAACGTGTGTTATTGTGTGTCTCTGTGTGTCTCTGTGTGGTTGTAGTCGTCACGTATGAAAGGGCGGCGTACTGTAAAATCATCGGCCTCATTTACAGTCTGTACTCACAAGCATGTAAGTGAAACTAATATTTTAGAAGAAGCAAAAGTAGAACGTGCAGCTTAATGACCCAGCGACTGACAGCGGTTACATTAAGGAGCCGTTGGCCCTCAAACACAAATCCCTGCGGCTTCAGTGTTTATGGGCTCTTGTGTTGCTTTTGTTCTTAGTTTTGTTGTTAGTGGCTGATTTTCATTCATACTTTGGTGTTGTGAGTCTTTCGTTCTGTAGTCATATTTATATTCTCTCCTCTGTTAATCCTCATTCAGTTTCCCAGTGTTTGTTTGGCACTCTGCGTCTGTTTCACTTCCTTCTCTGTCTGATTGTCCTGATTGCCTACAGCTTTGTCCTTTAACCCTCCTGTTTCCACTTCCCTGATTACCCTTCCCCTCACTATCCTCACAGTCTGCCATCTTAGATATAGATAGATATAATTTTTATTTCGAACATGCAAATATAATTGAAATAACAACAGAAAAAAACCCAAAAACAAATCATTAAGTTTTCATGTATATATCTTTGTCTACAGAATGCGTGTGCTCGAAAAGGAGTAGGATGAAGTTTACACTTTTCTTGTTCCTACCCCCCTATTTCACATTTCATTGCTTACAAATCCATATCCAGGATTCAACATTATTTGATCATATATGCTTAACTATGTACAAGTCTAACACATTGAACATACACAAATAAAAACCATTTTCAGTGCGTAAACCAGAAAAACAACAAACTACATTTTTACATAAACTAATCACTCTGTCTATAACACCCACTTAATCTCTGAGCTTGTTTTATATCTATGTGACAAACACCTTAATAAACACTTAAGGTTGGGTTACTCAGGCCTTGATCTATAAAAAA